AATCAACAAGAGTCCATGTGCCATTCTGAATGAGAGCCATAATTTCCTTGATCATTGCCGCGCGCCAGCGAGGGTCACTAAAGGCTTGGCGGAAATTTTTGGGCTCATCTTCCTTTGTCATGGCTGCAAGAAAAGCATAATAAGAAGGTTTAAACCCATCATAGGAAACGTAAGAAGCAAGAGGGTATGTGACAAGATTAGAGGTACGTCCCTTTGGGTCGGGAAGTTGGGTCTCATACTGTTCCAAATACTTGGGGCGGACTCGTTCTCTATCACTGCGCCGAAGTGGAGGAGGGGATGTACTAGCGCCAGCTGGTGAAGGAACGGAAGGCGAAGATGGAGAGGAACTAGCAGTGAGATCCTCATTGGAGACCGCTGGGGAGGAAGGTCCACTCCGCGAAGGGGATTCATGCAAAGAGGAGCTAGAATCCGTAGTGGCTGTTGGCGAAATAGCGGGCGATGGACTGTGACTTGGTGAAGATGACGTGGGTGAATCAGAATCACCTACCGGCCAGTCTCGATCATTGGAAGCATCGAGAACGGGTCTAGGAACCCAATGAAGTTCTCGCTGCGCTTCAGCCTGAAATGGGAAGGTGTTCTCGTGGAATTTCACATCACGAGAAGTCAACAAGCGATGAGTCATCAAATCGTATACACGAAACCCCTTTTGTGCCGATGCATACCCCAGAAAAACACCAGCTCTCCCCCGCTCAGCAAATTTATCCAGGTGAGCATGTGTGTCTTTGTAATAAACAAGACAGCCAAATACGCGTAAGTGACGATAAGAGGCTGGTTTACCAAAAAGAAGTTCGAAGGGGGTTTTGCCAGTAGCTGCGGTGGGTATGCGATTAAGGAGATATACTGCTGTAAGAATGCATTCCCCCCAAAAACGAAGAGGCAGACTGGCCTGAAACCTGAGGGCGCGAGCGGTATCCAAAATGTGACGATGCTTCCTTTCCACAACCCCGTTTTGTTGAGGAGTGTCAGTACAAGAAGTCTGTAATAAGATACCTTCACGAGAGTAGTAATCACGTAAGGGTTCTGTATTAAACTCGTGACCATTGTCGGCCTGAATGCGCTTCACCTGCTTCCCAAACTGTGTCCGAACCAGCTGGAAAAACTGAAGGAGATGGCGAGCAACATCAGACTTAAACCGTAATAGATAAACCCAGACACCGCGGGTAAAGTCATCCACGATAGCCGGAGAGATTCAAAACTCTCCCGTGGATTAGTCCCGATTCATCGGGGATACCACGTTAAATCGTTGTTCCTGTTTGCTTGATTTCATCAAACTTTACAGTTTTTCTTTTGGTTTTCTCAACAGTTACGTTTTGTGGATAACATGTTTAAGATACTCTAGTACTCTCTTTATTCTTGTCTCTCCCTCACACTAACTTGGTTCTTCTACTGGTTTTAAGAAAGTGAATTCAACAGTTGGTGGTGAGTATGGATTTGCTTTTGCGATTAGGATATTGATATAGGTCCAGTAAAGCGCAAATCAGTTTCTTTACCAATTGCTTGATTCAAAGCTTCATTGGGATTCAAGTGGAAAGGAATGTCGGATTTTATGGCATCACATCTGGGTGGATTATATGGCTACGGCTGCTCAAATGGCCCATATTACATACCAATTACTCCTCCGTTTCTGCTATTAGTTGCGTGTCCCAATGATAGTGTTGTTTGTCCGTGACTAGACTGTGATAGAGTAGCAGCCATCGAAAACCTTAGGTGTTTTTTATTATTATCTAATACCATATTAATTTAGAGGTGGATTAACAGCGGCTAATAGCTACTAAGACTTCTTCTTCCTCATGTAATCCAGTTGCAATTAGGATTTGCATATTCAGCTGATCCCCATTGTTACTTACTACTGCAATTCGGCTCACAGTAGTAAGCAAACCAAACAGCTGAGATTCATCGTTCCCGCATTACCACTAATCATCTCGAGCTGCGCTTAAACACGTCAACCACACCTCGTCCTCAGCGACATCCGAGTCGTTGGGATGCCATGACCAATGGGCTCGTTTCTCATCCAATATCCTCAGTCGCCCATGTCCAAACCTTGCATCTCGACACAACGATAACGCTGGAGTTGGCTTCATAAACCTTCATTCATTTTCACATCCAGCAATCAGACCGTTGAAATTTCTTAATGTACAATTAGTTTCATTGAAAGTAGTTACTGAGAATAATAGCCCTGCTTACTGTGAGTAAACTCCACTATGGCACCCGCCAGTCCCGATAGTGATGTAGACTGGACCCAACGAGTTAGCCTTGTTGTCATAAATCCTAGTCTGCAGCAAAATCCCAGAGCATTAAACAAGATTAGTCCCACTGATCAAGTAAGCTAATTGGCTCATTAACTATTTTTAACAGAGCCTTACGAATCTTTCGTAGGCATGAATATGACCAGCGAAGACAACGTCCACTCTGGCCTTATAAAGCAGCTCTTCCATGGCTGCTCTCATCCCTTCCCCGTCCCCTTGACGCCCGTCGTTGGTATTGTACCACGGCGTGTGCAACGATACGAATACCCACGGCGTCATTGTTCTGTCGATTCGGGCCAAGTCGGTCACCAGCCAGGCGTACTGGTCTGACCCGGATCTGAATTCGGTGGAGGAGCTGAGCATCATGACGTGGGCTCCTGCGACGTCGAACGAGTAGTAGAGGTTGGAGGTGGACGCACTCTGCTTGTGTGGCATTAGCCACCGGGCATTGTATGCCTTGAAGGACTCTGCCTCGCCGACCAGATAGCTCTCCTTCTCGTGATTTCCTTCCGTCGTCATCCACGGACGCCGGCTGGCCAGTGGCTCCACCAGCCGGCCGAACGAGTCCCACAGAGGCTGCGTGCTGTTGGCGTAGGATAAATCCCCCGGTAGCAGCAGCAAGTCGTAGTCTTTGCTTTCTAGCCCTTGTAGTGTTGATTTTGTCCAGTCTGTCTGACCCATATCCCCTGCATACATACATGAAACAGGGGTTTTGTGAAAAAAATTTGTTGACATGTAAGTTGTGAGTCTTGTGACAAAAATTGACTTACCAACGACGGCGATTTTGAGGGGGAAGGTTGAGGGAGGGGTTTTGAAGGAGAATTCTGGGCCGTGGCCGCCGCATCTGTAGTAATAAGTGGTGTTGGGTTCCAAAGGTCCAATCCTGACATGGTGGATGAAACCTGAGGTATAGGTTAAGAACTGATACGAACTCTTGTCTCCGCCGGCGACCTTGAAGATGTAATTTCCCGGTTCGGTGCTATATTCGACAGCGGAAGGGACTGTTTTGTCGTCGGTTAGCCAGGTGATTCGGATGTGATCTATCCCCGCGATTGATATGTGCACCTGTTGGGGATCTGATGCAGAACCGTTGTGGGGAGTGAAGAAGACTCTAGGAGGGAGTGGAACTAGCTCAAAGTCAGTTGATGCATGGAATTCCATATTTGGGACTAACGAGAAGTGATCAAAAAGTAACTTGTGGGAGAAATTATTGTATGCACCCGGCGTACCACGTCACTTCAATTACGTGGTACTCCAAGCCAATAAAGAACAGACACGTTGATAGACGTTTACCTTGTATTGCCGCATAGCATTTTCGGCTTCATCTCTCTCTTTTTTCGACGCCTTAATGACTGGTTAATTACTTAACCTGATTAATTACTCCAAGCCAATACAAAATTAGTCTATGCAATTATTTGCCAACAGAAAACACAGTTCATAGCATCTTCCTCCCACTCTGTTTCTCCTCAGAACTTCAAGTCTTCAACCATGGAACCAGGGAAAGAGAAACCCGTTCTCCACAAGAACCCAGAGAGAACAACTGAATTAGCTCCTGTTTATCAGGATTTTTGGATTTTCATCTCTCTAACAATAAACTACAGATGCAATTTTAGCAAATATGCTCTGCTTCAATCCAGTGAATACTAAAATCAGTGGCAGCCGCCCCTTAATCATCTGAGAATAAAGCTCAATTGAAAGACTCGGTCTAATGGCGGGGGGGTTTCAGAGTTAAAAATGACTATTCTGTAATAGTTAGTAAATATTTCGTTTAATATACGTATATAATCGTACATTTTGTATCTGTTTAAAACTTTCGTGTCAAGTATTATAATCAAACCATTTTATTTTTTTCCATTTATTTGATGACTCGCGTACTAAATACGTATAAAATCCATATAATACATATAATATTCGTATTTGATGAATTAAATTGCTAGCTTAACTATTATTTATATACTAATTTATTTCTAAAATATTAATTATATATATTTTATAGCTATTGACGTATGATAAAACATATTATTAGTTTCAAAACAAAATAAAATACTCATGTATATTTTATAGGTACCTTACCCGTAACGATTTTACTAACTTCTCTCTCTGACTTTTATTATTGGTTGGATTTCTTTCTCTGAATTTGAGATGAATTCAAAGAAGGAAACGTAAAATAGGGAAAGACTAAAAAAAAGGTAAAACATATGGAGAGCGGAGTAAATATATGTCAACGTGTCTGTTTTATATTGGCTTGGAGTACCACGTAATTGGAGTGACGTGGTACGCCGGGTGCATACAATAATTTCTCAACTTGTGGTGTGGTGCAATAATAATGAATAGTAGCTAGATTCCGTTTCTCTTTATCTTCCTCTCTGTGGGTTGTGCTTTGGTACCTCCAAAGAAGCTTGACCTCCTATACGTTCAAATAGAAGGGTCAAAAGTATTGGGAGTTGGAATTTCTGGTTAAAATAAGAAGACTTGACTAGAGTTCGGCAATGTTAGTTATCAGGTATGTTTCTTAACTACCAAACGATGACTTTAGACCTAGACTGATTAGAACAATGAAAACAGAGCTGTTGGTTTCATGTTGCAGATTGCTTTTTCCTCAACCCACAAGCATAGAAAGCAGAGTGGCAACTTCTTCGCGATTGTCCGAGGAATAGAGGTTTCCTAGGAAGCTACAACCAATCTGTGCATCAACTTAAATATCCCAACATTCACAAACACTGGAACGTTCTTTGTAGAATAGGGGTTATTGATCAATTGACCTCAATGTTAAAGTGAAACTTCTCCAGATCAGTTCCTTTAAAAATCCCCGGCGTATAAGTATAAACTATTGATCATACAGTGTACAGAGCCGGGGAAAAGAATGGGCTAAAATTAGAAAGGAAAGATCGACCTACAGTGTATACGCGGGAAAAGGGTGGCTAATTAAACTTCATCCAGACTTAGATCATGATGCCAAGTTATCCAACCACACTTCATCTGCCGGTTGTTCCTCGGAGTCGTTGATCCGGTGCCACGACCAGTGTGCTCGTCTCTCGTCCACAATCCTCAATCTTCCATGTCCATGTTGTGCTTCCCTGTACAAGGACAGCCGGGAACCAGGAGTCTTGAAGCTTCATTTCCCCACAACAACAACAACAACAAGAAAAGACTAGTCAGTTCATTCCTCGACATATAGAGTTGGATTTGGCCTCAAGCAGGAGAAAGCACTCACTTTAGTTCAAGCCCTTCATGGTTTCCCCCAGTACCGATGGTTATATACACCGGCCCACGCGGGTCTGCATTGTTGTTATAAACCCGTGTCTGAAATCAAACCGCCATGGGCCAATCACTTAGTTGCAGAGAATTAGAGGACAATGAACAAGAGAACAACAAAGGGCCAAGACTCACGAATCTTTCATACGCATGAACGTGGCCTGCGAAAACGACATCCACTCTTGCCTTGTACAACAACCCTTCCATGGCCTTCCTCATGTCTTCTCCTTCCCCCGAATGCGCATAGTTAGTGTTGTACCACGGATCGTGCAAACAAACTATGAGCCACGGCGTTCTCTTCCTGTCTACTCTCGCCAAGTCGTTTATCAGCCACCTGTGCTGGGCCGAGCGGGGCATGAACTCGGCATAAGAACCTAGCATGACGACGTGGGCACCTGCAACATCGAACGAGTAGTACAAGTTTGAGGGCGAGCCGCTTTCTTCGTATGGCATCCGCCATCTGGCGTTGTAGGCCTTGAAATCGTTGGAGCCCCGCACAAATATGCACTCCATCTCGTGGTTTCCTTCCGTCACCATCCACGGACGACTGCTGGCTAATGGCTCCACTAAACGACCAAATTTGTCCCACGATGGTTGGTCGCAGTCCGCGTAGGATAAGTCCCCTGGCAGCAAGAACACGTCGTAGTTGCTTCTGTTGACATGCTCCAAGTTCAATTTCGTCAGGGAGGTTCGGCCAAGATCACCTGCAACGTGCTAGATGCTATGAACCATGAAGAACGCTTACTGTTCTTAAAGTTCTGATGATTAAGCAATTTTACCAATCATAATAGACTTACCAACCACCGCAAATTCAACTGGAAAAGTTGCAGGAGGAGTCTTCATGGAGAATTCAGCAGCGTGTCCGCCACATGTGTAGTAGTAAGTGGTGTCGGGCTCCAAAGGTCCAATCTTCACATGGTGTATCTTCCCAGAGGTGTATGACATGAACTTATATGAAGTGTGCTCCCCTGTTGCCTTGTCCTCGTATCTGCCCGGTTCCTTTCCATATTCTACTGTGGAAGGCACTTGCTTGTCAACTGTTATCCATGTGACTCTCATGTGATCTCTTCCCACCACGGATACATGCACCTAGCAGAAGAAGTTACACAAAATTCAAGTTGCAGAACAATGGTGAATGTGGTGAAAAGAATCAAACGATTATGGCGAATTGGAAGGAAAAAGGGGACCTGTTGAGGCTGACATGGTGATCCCATCACGGCCCTTTTCAAAGCTGAGATCGCTCCTTTCGATTGACCTATTTTGAAAACTTCAGAAACCCTACAAAAGAGTAACTCTCTCTCTCTGACTTCAAAACTGAACTCTACTTGTCTGAGTGATAAAACGATGATATGTTGATCACTGAACCCTTTTCTATATATAAGTAAGAATCCTTCCCTAAGTAGAAGAGAATAAACTTATCGAACTTCCTAAATAATAAAAGCTATTATTATAACAAATAATGCGGAAATAAATAAGAACAATAAGGGAAATTTGCTAGAAAGGGTTGATACTAGATAGAAATAAAGCAGAGGGGCAGAGGGCAAAAAGGAACTGCAAGGGTATCAAGCAAAGTTCACTAGGGTTTGATTATATGCTCCAAAGAATCTTCTCCATTCAAGGCCTAAAACTTTAATTTGTGAGCAACAACTCTGAGTTACTGTATTGATCCCCGCCACTGATTCTATCAACTCGGGCAAATTAGCCACAGAAGAAAAGCTGAGGACTTGCATAATTACTACAGATCAATTAGAGGATCCTGCAGATTGAATTACCTTTCTGGAGGGGAGCAGCACCGGAAGCCATGGCAGGGAAATAGAACGCGGTAACTGTCATCTCCACCAAGGCCTCTCTTCTTCCTGAGCCCAATAGCTCTCCACCGAGATATCTGCAAGGTCGATACTGTCAGCAAAAAGTTGAATGTCGAATCGCAGCAGGTGAGAGGAAATGGCTTCGGAAATAAACTTTTCAGCTTGGGATTTACTTACATGGGTTCGTGTCCTTCCGAAGAATAGTGCCCAATGGCTGAGTTCTGATTTTTGTATTTGCTCCGCCGCCAGATGAGGCGGCCTGAGTAACAGGCGGCGGAGGGGAGACCGGAGGCGGTGTGAGGAATGAAATCCGGCGGAAGAAGGGAGGAGGGGTTGAGAGAGGAAGAGGAGGGTGAAAAAATTGGCGCCATTCCTTCTCTCGCTAACTTCCCCCCCTCGATCCCGGATTTTGCTCTCGCTTCCCCCGGCTTTGTTTCGGCCGTTATATTTTTATTTATCGCTTATTTATTTATTTACCATTTTCCCGGTCCAGAATTATTTATTTATATTCTTGCGTTTTTATTTATCGGAACAACTTCCCGCTTTTTGGGAAGAGAAGGCATAGGCCACATATGCAATCGAAAATATCACACGCCATTTTCTACCTACATATGATAATACATTTTCATGTTCGACGTGCCAACAATTTATGGTTTAATATCAAACAAGACCTGATAATTTTGTCTCTAATCAATCTGTTTGTGCCACGATACTTTCTCACCCGAGTGCGCCTACTTCTCTCCACATCGAGCGCTTGGGCCCTGCAAGACTAACGCCTAGAGGGCTAAGCCCACCCGTTAGCACTCCGACGATCAAGTCAGTAGTGATTCTAGAGAGAGACGTGAAGAGAGAAGTTTTAGTGTGAGAAAACCGACCCGCTTAAATGCTACCTACCGGGTGCTATTTATACTACTCGAGCTCCTCGACCAAGCTCCGACCAACTCCTGCCACCCAGCCTTACGTCAGCCCAGCATTAAATGCCTGGTCTGGTCTAACGCCTACGCGCCTACACGTGGCACGCTGTCCGTCCTCCACGTCGGGGCGCATAGGGGGACCACCTGTCTCGTGGCGCCCTTCCGACTTTGCACATCCGTACTTCCTTGTCCGCGAGTCTATTTTGTCGCTATGCGCCCCTCTTCCCTCAGGGCTACCTAGGTCATGCCCTAGATAAGCCATAAATGGGCTTCAGGCCCAACAGGCTTTTGACTTTCATGGAGTTATCTCTATTATCCCAACAATTGCCCCCCAGTTAGGTGCTCACAGGTGGGCGCCTAACTATGATCCTATATATATGCGCAATTTCCAGAGGTGTGGGACAATTCGAAGGCACGCCCTACTCGATTGATCCTTGACCTTTCAACCAATGGGGCGCCTGGGTCCACTTGCCCCCCTCTCCATGCGTTACGATTTTCTACTTTTCGTACTTATTTTATTGGACACCGCCATTCGGCTTAGAGGGGCGCCCGCATTCACTTCGCTCGTTGCCCTTGCGCCTTCCTTGATTTTAATGCATCCGCTGCAGTTTGCGCACCCGATCCACGTACCTAGCGCGCCTATCATGCGACCAATCAATTCCCTCATCTTTAATGCGTCCGTCGTGTACCCTCGTATCGAGGCGCGCGACCGTACTTCTCGCCCCCACTCGGCGTCCGTTCAAAATTCGAATTTCAAAATTCAAATTCGAATTTTGAACGGAGGGCGAGGATTTGCCCGTTAAGCGCACGCACATCTCGAGGTGACCCTTCATCTCCCCCTCCTCTTATAAATACACACTTTCCTCTCCTCCATTCTTCATTCGCCCCAAACTCGTTTCTCTCTCTAGCTGTTCTCTCTAATTGCTCTCCCCTCTCTCTAGCCCGCGCGCCCTGCTTCTCTTACCTGTGCGCCCGACTTTGCTTTGCAAGCTTGTCTCAATCAGATTCTGGTGCAACTAACAACTCCACCGAAAGGGGCGGAAACGTGGCACCCAGCGTACTCGACGTGCTCGAGCAGCACCTGTCTCCCGACCCGCTTCGAAATCAAGACCAATGGGTGTCTCGATCCCACAAGGAGGCGCCTAAGAAACCAACATCCATCCCTTCTCCTGCGCCCATCAACGAGGAGGCGCCTACAGCAGCGATGGTCTCGGTTGCACCCGTCACCACTACACAAGCGCTTGCCGCGACCAATCAGGGTAATGCCCTTTTTCTTCTGCTTTTTAAATTTTCCAATTTGTTTTGAACCTTTGTTAGGCGCCCACAAGAGGCCTTGGGTCCCTAGTATTGACCAAAGGCGCTTGGATCACTTTTAGGCTCCGCGCCTACCTCGTCAGAGTCGAGTGATTTGGCCATTTCACCGACATCCACCGACTCAGGCGCCCCCGAAGATGGGTCGTTCAAGATAGTTGCTTGGGAAGATACATGGCCGCAAGGGGAGGCGCCCGGTAACACCAGCAAACTGTCCGTGAGGCGTGCCGGGCCAAAACACACGTCCACCATCAAGATAGCAGAAATGCATCGATTGATTACCTCCTGCAATCTGTCTCGCACATGGTCCTATGCGCCTGCATCTCCGATTGCGAGGATAGGAGCAATTGGTCCACGGTGGCTCGGTATATATAAGGAGTATTTAAATTCGGGCTACGCTTCCCTTTAGATTTGATTTTGGAATGAATCCTCACCACATGCGGCGACCGCCTCATCCGGGATTGGAAAATAGGTAGTACCACACACTTCAATGTTGATGTGGACTTATCCGATACTGAGAAAGAGCACGCGCGCCTATTATCCATCCATCTGGTGAACCTTAGTTCCACAGCCGCTAGGACTCCTGTCTTACATGAGTACTACGCTGACGGTAGGTAGGCGCCTAGTAGCGAATCCGTGTTATTGAAAAGTTTGAATGCGCTCATGTTCTTTTATTCACGCATAACGGTCATCATGCCTTTACTTATTCATTTGTGCTTTGCTGTAGGTGTGGATTACACCACCATTGCCTCCTTGATGAAGACCCAACTTGAGGGCTTGGGTCTAGACTATAAGGCGTCTGACTTCGGCGGCAAAGCAACCGCACGCCCACGGAAGGGCGCTTCGAAGAAAGGGAAGAGAAAGTCTTCCTCCTCCGGAGTTAAGACTAATGCGCCCGTCACTGCCAAGCAAGGAAAGGGGCACTCAAGCCCGCGGCGTATCAAACCACAAAAGGCGCCGAGTGTCTCCCAAGTAGAGGAAGAGGTGGCGCCCATCGCCGTGCAACCCGACGTAGAGGCGCTTACGACCAACATTCCTTCTGACCCCGAGTTGGATATCAACGATGTCCCTCTTGGGGAGAAATTGAAGAGGAAGCAGACGGGGGATGATTCCTCGGCGCCCAGCAAGAACCAGCGCACCAGCACAGAGGAGCAAGTCCCGGCCTTTGTCGAAAAATGGCTACAACCACCAAGGCATAGGGTCAATATCGCTTGCTCAGACAGATCTGCTTTGGAGAGAGGCTCCGCGCTTGGGTTTGCCTTTCATGCGTTCGAGGTGCTGAGGGCGCCCAGTGGGGTTGAGGGCGCGAACTTATGGGGAGAGGTCGCACGCCTGGGTTCCCAGGTATGCGCTTGGACGTGCCTTCCTTTCATACACATTGTACATATGCAACTATCGTTGACTTGCTATTTTTGTTGATCTTCTTTGTTAGATGTTGTTCCTTGCCAAGAATGGCGCATTGACAAACGAGGCACTGCGCGTTGGAGAGGCGGAGGCCTGCAATTCTCTTAGCGTGATGAAGGATGATTTAGAGACTGCGCAGAGGCGCCAGACGGAGCTAATTCAAGCATGCGAGGATGCCAATCTCGAGGCTGCAAAAGCAGCCTCCCTCGTCCAAAAGTCCATTGATGAGGAAAAGCAGAAACTGAAATCGGAGTATGAGGCCCAGCTCGAGACTGCCAGAAGGGCGCATCATGAAGAGGTTGCCAAGCTTATGAAGGAAAAGGACGATCTGGACAAGGAGGCGGGCGCCCAAAGGAGCGAGATTGACCTCCTTATTGAAGAAAAGAAGGCGTTGCAAAAGGAGAAGAAGATCCTAGCCAAGGAGAATAAGAGGCGCCAGGAGGAGCTGGAGGCGTTTAAAGCGGAGAAAGTTGCACCAGAGGCGCCTACATCAGACTTGGCGCTAAAGGCTCAGGCGTCCCTCAACAGCATCCTCATTTTGAAGAAGAAGCTCGAAGCTGACCACCCTACCATCAACTGGGATGTCAAGGAGATGGCCAACTTTGTGATTGAGTTCATGTCAAGTGGGCGCCCCATCGTCGATGCTGCGCCTGCGCCTCCCGAGGAACCCGCGGGTGAAGAAAGCTCGGATTCAGGCTCGGAGTCCAGTGATGATTCGGAAGGGAATGAGTAGGATCATTTTACGTAGTATTTGACATTAGCCCTTGTGCGTCTATTTTCTACATGTTTGCATGCTTTGTAGAACTCTTGGGCGCCTGCTATTTTGCGAGGTGTTTGTCTTCCTAACATTTTTATAGGCGCCTACTACTCTCTTATAATCTATGCGTCTGGATTTTACCGATACCTTACTCCCATTCCTTAATCCATTTCTGCTAGATCTTGAGTGGCATGATAGTCAGGGCGCTTAAATGGGGTGCATTACTTTCATCTCTTAGTAAGGGCACAAGTATTGGGTGCAAGGGCGCATTAAGTGTGTCGGGCGCATTAAGGGCACAAGGAATGGGTGCAATAGACAAGTTAAAAAAAATGTATATATATGTATTCCGATTTCAAAAAAAAAAACCTTGGGGCGCTATTTCCGGGCGCTTTAAGTATCCCGAGCGCTTAAAGGGCGCATTACATAAATGTTACGGGCGCGTGAGGGCGCTTTGCAGTACTATAGGCGCACGTAGGCGCTTCTCCCTACTCCTACCAAAAAACTCCCCAAGGCTTGGCGTTTTCCCTCGTAACTACCACTCTCTAGGCGCCCCTTCAGGCACTCTGCCATCTCCCCCTGCCATATTTGCTTCCATAAACCCGTACCTTCACAGGTTTTGCGCATTCCAAGTTCTTTTGACTTTCTTTCCCGACAAGTGCTCCAGCTTAAACGTGCCCGGCCCAACTACCTCTTGCACACGATACGGCCCCTTCCACTATGGTGCCAACTTCCCTCTCGGTGGCTTTTGGGCGAAAGTCACGCTTCAGCACCAAGCTCCCGGCCACTATGTCATGCGGGCGCATCTTCTTGTTGTAATACCTGGCGACCTGTGCTTTCATTGCTTCCAGGCGTAGAGCCGCTCTTTTGCGACGCTCATCAAGGAGATCCAACTCATTGATCCGTTCCTGTTCCTCCATTGACTCCCCCTTATGCGCCATTCGAAAGGTCGGAATGCGGACCTCCACAGGCAACACCGCTTCGCTTCCATACGTCAGTGCGAAGGGCGTTTCCCCCGTGGCGACTTTGAAGGTGGTTCTATGCGCCCAT